AGTAAATGTCTAGTCAACCATTATTTACTAATGAACATCCTGGGTTGAGGTCGTCACTCGGCGTCTCGATGGAGGCCCGGGCTATGAGGTCGACACCCGATGACTTGTTGGAGGACCGGGTTGTGAGTTTGGCACCCCTCGACTTGTTGGAGGCTTGGGCTATGAGATCGGCACTCGATGACTTGTTGGAGGCCCGGTCTATGATGTCGGCACCAGACGACTTGTTGGAGGCCCGGGCTATGAAGTCGGCAACCCGGCGACTTGTTGGAGGCCCGGGTTGTGAGGTCGGCATCCGGGGAGGCCCGGGCTATGAGGTCGGACCCAACGACTTGTTGCTTTAGTAAAATTACTAATAATTATTGTAAAAATAAATTTTAAAATAATAATATTTTTTGTTTACATATTTATGTAAAAATAAAAAGTTAATTGATATATTAAATTGAGAACTAGAATTTAAAAATAAGCCATTAAACTAAAAAAAAAAATACAAGCCGACACAATCTATATATATATATAAAAGCAAAACAGCTGGTTTAGGGGCTGTTTTCCAGCTCATTTTGCATTTAATGTTTGCAATAAATTGTTTCACTCAATTTTCTATACTATGAATAAATGAAAATTTGTTGAATATTGTATTGTCTTCCATAAATTGTTTTGCTCAAATATGAACAATCAATAATTAATAAATATTACTATTAGAAATACAAGGACTCATTAATGGATCTAACTATTTTGATGCAAGTGTTGATTATTTGAGAGAAAAAAAGACACATCTGTTAAATTAGTTTTTTTACATAAAAGTTGTAACTCAATTTATTATTGACATATTGTTAGTTATCAAATAGTCATTTCAAAATCTTGATGGTGAATAAGTGTGAAAATCAAACCTCAAACATCAGTAGACAAATAAATCTAAACATGTCGGTAAATCAAAATTGTTGCAACAAAAAGCTAACTCTTACTTTAAATTAATAGCATAAGTGAAAGAGAACAAAAAAATGCGAAAGAACGACTATAATAGAATATTGTTTGGATTTCGCGAATAATATTATTTAAAATACTTTATTTTCAATTAACAATTGAGTAATCTATGAATCATATGTATATATTTGTGTGTGCGTGTGTAGAATTATGTGCGTGTGAATCAACTGCAAAAATTTCCACGCAAACGTGCAAAAATTTTGTATTGATAATTGACTTGCTAATTAATTTTAATATGTATTTGATGATTGACTTGCTAATTAATTTTCACTCTCTTTAAATTGTATATTTAATTTTCCTTTCTGCATAAAATTGTAATAATATGCACTTAGCAATCTTTATAAGGTATACAAATTAAACTAAAATAACAAATTCAATTTGATTTTATTTTTTATGGTATATTAAATTAATCTTATGTTCGCAATCTTTAATTTGAACTATTGTTCATATATTAATTTAAAATAAATATAAACTAATCTACATACAGATAAATATGTCTATATGTAGGGTGTTTGAGCCTCACTAGGACTTTTTATTTGAACAAATATAAATAATTTCTAACTAAAACGTTAAAAACTAATGTAGTTTAAAAGTAAGAGTATTATACATCACATATGAGTAAAATATTTCGTAAAAAATGCGGTGGAACTATTCAATTCACAATTAGACTTCCCTACTAGTATGACACCCGTGTACTACACGGGTTGTTTGAAAAAAAAATATAAAACATAAAATAATAAAAAAAAACACATTTTGTATAAAAGTGCAAAAATAGAAAATACCAAAATCTAATATTATTTCAAATTTTGAAAAAAAAAATTTGTACACAAAATTATTAGTTTTATTTACAATTTTTCCATCCTTATCGCAACACAGAATTTTCAAGCCTCTCCCACTTAAATTCAATTTAGGTAATATGAATAATTGAGATGAAGGGGAATCAGAATGAAGGGGGTTGGTGATTTAAATAATGTAGTGAAAAATTACACTTTATTCATTTAATTTAAGAATAGATATAATTTTGGAGGGGATCGAATTAAGCAAAAATATATTATATTAAGCAAAGACTATTGGAGGGCAAAAAATCCTATTTACCACAACATTAATAGTTTTATTTACAATTTTTCTATCTTTATCGCAACACAAAATATTCAAGCCTCTCCTACTGTAAACATTAAAATATGCTTACGCAAAAGTTAGATAACAAAATAACTAAAACTAAATCAACATACTTCCTTATTGATAAGTAACACGCATTCACAGAATCATTACTAAGTCAATCATAAAACATAACATATACAAAATCACAAAGAGGTGAAAGAAAACTGATATTTCAAGAGAGCCCCTAAACCAGTTATGTGCATTATTAATAATTTTTCGAGAATAAATCAACCTAAAAGAATATAAATATCTATCAATGTCACGCTTGTTTGAAAAACCAATTAAAACTTATGTGTAACTGTGTTGAAATATATGAAAATTCTCACTTTTGCGGAATTAATTAATTAATTTACCTTAAAGCCAACAGGTCTACAGTGATAATATCTTACAGGACTGCAAGAAATTCACAAAAGTGTTTGTCTTGACAGCAACAGAGATTAATATAGATTATGCAATAAAATCAAGGTAATGCGAAAAGCAAGAAGAAACATGCTTGACCTTTCCATATTCGTTAGAGTTCTCGTGAAGAAGCAATTAAAAAAATGATAACAACAATTAATTAAAATTAATATAATATAAAAATTAAAATACTAACCGATATGATCAATACCAATGAGAAGGATACAATATTACTTTCAATTTATTTATTGGGTTAATATACATATTTCTAGAAAAAGAAAAAAGTAAAATGAAATGATAGATAATTTAATTTTTTTTCCTTATATCAGTACAGTAAACTATGATTATACAAAAAAAGTGAAAAAAAAAAAATCATATATCCAATCACCACTTACCTATATCATTAATTATTATCATTATAAACTAAAATATTTATATATGGAATATATATGTAATTGTATTCCGAGTTCCGATCCTCTGTCCTATCAATTAAGATAGGTCTAGAGGAACAGTATCAATAAACAATATTATCATTATTATTAGGTATATAGGAGTAATACCTTTATCATTAAAATTGCGTGGTTTGTTGGTAAATATAAGATAAGAATCCTGTTTATATTGGAGTTCTATTTATTTTGGAGTTAGAGGGGATCGGATTAAGCAAAAAAACTTATTTATTAAGTATTTTATTTTAAATAATTAAGGAATGTATCCGAACCAAAAGCCGAAGCATGTAATGTTGCCAAGTAAGCTTCCGAAGCGTGCGAGGCAACCATTTAAGCTCAGCACGTTTTCAAATTATATTAAGAGGGGATAAGGGACTTTGTGATATATAGCTCCATGTCATATTTGAAATTGAATTAGTGTATATAATAAATTATTTTTTTATTTGTTGTGAATTTTCACTTCACTTTTCCATAAATTATTCTCTCTCTCTCTTTTTCTTTGTGAGTAACAAAACTTTTTGATACAAACAAAAACTTAATTCTTATACACAATTGTTATTATGAAATAGAATTAAGTAATTATTAAAAAATTGGCAAAATACATTTTTTTAATCTATTTTGTCAGAACACGTGAAATAATCTCATTTATTTTATATTATTTTTATATTTTTATAATGTAAATAGAAAAGTTATTTTAAAATTGGCAAAACATATTTTTTTGAATCTATTTTGTCAGAACACGTGAAATAATCTCATTTATTTTAGATTATTTTTATATTTTTTTAAATATATGATAAAATTTTGCAAAAATGATTATTTTATGGAATTTTTGCAAATATGATTATTTTATGGAATCACATTGTAGTTAAATCGAATTTCTAAATAAAAAATTTTAAAATGATACTTATTTCGAAATGAATACAATGTATTTATTATCAGTCACGTCCACCATACGAGTTGTGTACTAATTTTCGATCTAGACATGTTGTTGACATCCGAATTCGCCGATAAGACCGAACCGGACAGCAGAATTCCGAGAGCCGAACCGGAGGTCCGGTCCAGTCAGAAAATGCCGAGCTGAACCGGAATGTTTTATGACCCAGACGTCCCCATGAGTCCGTCTGCTAGCCCGACGTTTTGCGGCTACGAAGCCCCGGTGCCGGCCTGGAAAGTGACGGTCTGGAAGAAAGGTTCCCCAAGGTCGGAAGAACAAGTAAAGAAAAGGTGCCGACTTGGAGTCCCAGGACGGACTTCTGTAATGAAGGTGTCGGCCTCAATAGTATTATAATAATGCCACTTGGAGGATAATCATTGGCTGATGGATGGGACGCCCTAGCCTGTTGGCCTACTTCCCCTAGCCAAGACATAAAGCCTGTCAGCATTAAATGCCCGTCAGACAATGATGAGGAAAACCTCAAATCGCATTAAATTCTGTCAGGGAGGCGCCGAACTACTCTGCAAAAAACACTGTACGACAAGATTGGTGAACAGTACCTGAACAGTAGCACATTTAAGGCTACTATAAATAGCAACCCCTCTCATTTATTTTGGGTTGTTGAATCTCAACTGTAAAAGCTATCTCTCTCTGCTTTCTCTCTCTAGAACTCGTGTAATTATTCTGTAACGATTTGTAAGGATATTGCAAGTGCCGACCTCGTACGAGAGGCCGACCTCGTGATCTATCAATAAAACTACAATTAAACCGTATTTCCTTATCTTTTCCTTATCCTCTTTTCATTATTTAATCTTTTTAACCGTTGACCGGAAACGCCCGTCAACACATGTTTTATGTAATTTTTCACAATTTAAATTTCACATAACAGTTTTGATAAATTAATATAGGTAAATTGTATTACATATTGATTTCATATTTTTTATTTATAAATATTATTTAATAAATATTTTTAATTTATAAATATTAATAAATATCTTTTACCCGTGCATCGTACGAGATTCGTATTAGTAAAAAAAAAATTATCGGGGTCCAAACGCGCCCGTAAAAGAGCTCATGCCATGCAGTTAATGGGGAACGCTCGAACCCCATTGGCTGAAAACTCGTGGAGCCATCTGGAAGCGACACGTCAGACCAGCCTAGGAACACTCTGGATTTTTCCTCTTAACGCCCGGGAAATCTATTATTTAGACCCCCAAATTACCGCTAAAACAGAGCCTTCCCTTTCACAGTTGGATACAAAAGTGCAGGTACACAAACTCCATCGCTGGAATCGAATTTATACAGAGTTAATCATGAAAAACCGGTCGGCGCTGCCATGGATTGCCGTCGGATTGACGTTTCTTCTCCTCGCGGACTGCAAAAAGGCCGACCCATATAAGGTAATGCATGTCGACCCGCCTTTTTGTCGGTTTGTGTGTGTGAAGAAGAGCGGATTGGTTTGATAGGTGCCATGGTAGATTTTACTAGAAGAAATTATTCACGATTAGGGTTAGGGTTAGGGTTAGGCTGATTGGATTAATGGCTGCAATGATAGGTTTTACGAGAAGGAATTATTTACGATTAGGATTAGTTTCAGGTTTCTGTGTTGTTAGCCGGTTATATTAGTGGTCTCCATGGTAGATTTTGCAAGAAGGAATTATTCAGGATAAGGATTAGTTTCAGGTGCGTGTGTGTGGTAGGCGGATTGATTAATGGCTGCCATGGTAGATTGTATGAGAAGGAATTATTCCACTTTAAGGATTAGTTGCAGGTGGGTGTGTGGTGGGAGGATCAGATTAATGGTTTACAGGTAGATTTTACAAGAAGGGATTATTCTCGGCTAGGACTAGTTTCAGAAATTGTGTTATCAGTATATGTTTTGAACATGAGTCTGTATGTAGAAAGGATACCGTTTTGTTTCTAATAGTGTCAGCATGATAGTTGTATGTGGAGCTGGCGCAGAGAATAAGTTTGGGGTGAACAATTTTTACCTATTGGACTATGGAGCATGATGTAGGGATGGAAATTTGCTGTATTTAGAACATTCTTTTATGGCAATTGGTACAAGCTCGTGATATTGGAAGCTAGTGTGGGGATTATCTTCGACGGATGCAGTGCTTGCTTGAATTTGTTTTGAATTGTAGTTTTAGGCATGAGATTACCCATGTGATCAAGTAGACAGATTTTAGCTTTGTTTAGTTCCTTGTTCTTAACATATGTTATGGTTTGATCGGTGTTATTAATTGGTGTAATAAATTTATTCTATGGTCAGGTGTTGGGGGTTGATCGGAGTGCAAGTCAGCGTGAAATTCAGAAAGCCTTTCACAAGTACGTGCATGTTTTCCCTGAATGAGGTCACCGTTTATTTGCTAATCAATCTGGTTTTGACATTTTACATGATCAATTTTTATGTGCATGTATTTGGCAGGCTATCACTACAATACCATCCTGACAAGAACAAAAACAAGGGTGCGCAAGAAAAATTTGCAGAAATTAATAACGGTATGGCCACTTCCTCTTTTGTTACTCTTAACAGTAGGGAGAGAGAGAGAAGGGAGAGGATATGGGATTTAGGATTTTGTCTTCTCTATAAACAAGTGAGAATTACTGATCTTGGTGCCAAGGGAATGCTTTTTGCATTTTCAATCTGGCCCAATGTAGCCATCGAACAATTCAGATAAACAAGTCTTCTTTATGGAGTTCTTTTATCCTCTGGGACAGGATTGTCTTTAAAGATTCCCATTCTTGATCTGTTCACATTATATAAATTGTGGAATTTCTCAATCGTACACGAATTCTTGTGAGCATTCAATCTGCAGAACACATTAAACGTCACCGTTTCACGACTTATATTAATTTTAAATGCTTCTCTTCTTTTGTGTTTTTTTGGGTCCCTGGATTTTCTAGTTCTTCGAGTGCTGAGATGCTAACAAATTTCCCTTTAAATATATATATATATACAGCATACGACATATTATCTGATGAACAGAAGAGGAAGAATTATGATCTCTATGGGGATGAAAAGGGTACCCCTGGATTTGAAGCCGGTGATCCTGGAAATGAAGGCGGATACAGAAGCTACTTCACCAGTGGAGGACCAGGACAAAGTGGGTTTAGTTTCAGGCCAGGTGACTGGCAGAATATGGGCGGTGGGCAAGACGGCTCAAGATCGTTCTCGTTTTCTTTCGGAGGTCCTGCTTCGGGCAAGCAAAGCTCGTTTGGTTTTGGCTTTGATGATATCTTCTCCAACTTTTTCAGTGGTGGTGGTGGTGGTGATGCTGGTGGTAAATTTTCTGGTTCACACCGCTCAAGCAGGTCTCAGTACGGAAATAGGCACTCCTCTAAGAGCATACCATCTGTAAATTCTCAAATTTACAGGAAAGAGATAGTTGATGGTGGGATGACGTGGCTATTATTAGTTTACACACCCAATCTCCAAGGGATCCAATATTATGAATCCGTTGCAGAGGAAGTTGCCACCTCACTTCAGGGAGCATTGAAGGTATCGTACTACATTACTACTACAGTTTTGATTTTCTGCGTGTATTGTAGTATACCCCATAGGGAAAGAGAATAAAAAATGATTTAGAATATATAAATTTGAATGAGGTTATGTGCTTTGATCGAGCACAATGACGACATGTGATCCATATAGCCGATCCCATTTAGTGTGATTTTAACGGCTTGCTTGTTGATTAATTGTTGATTGATTGATTGGTTGATTGATTGTATACCCCATGTAAACACTATCAACTTGTGGTAATATTTACGTGTGCTTTCTCATACAGGTAGGGACCTTAAATTGTGAATCCGAAAAGTCCTTATGCAAGGAGCTTGGGGTGTATCCTCGAAGAGAACCGAGATTCTATATTTACTCATTTGGGTCTAGTGGAAAAGGTTCATTGGTAGAATATGATGGTGATTTGGAAGTAAAATCTTTGAAGAGCATTTCTCAGGAGCATCTACCCAGAATCTCGAAGCGTGTAAATTTGAATAATTTAAACGTTGCATCTGGGGGTGGGAGTCTACCCAAAGTGTTGCTCTTGTCCACAAAGAAAAACACTCCCGTTATTTGGCGTGCACTAAGTGGCTTGTATCGCAAGCGTTTTATCTTCTATGATGCTGAGGTACTTAGGGCCTGCTTGGTTACTAAATTTTCAGTTTTTTACTGGTTTTTTGTGTTAACTAGAGTTTATTTGAAAAAAAGTTAGTATGGTTAGTTGTTAGTGGGATTTTAAATTTGTATTAAAATAATATTTTAAATAAATGATTAAAAATGATTTGATGTAAAAGTAGGAGATAAATGATTGGAATTGATTGGAAATGATAGGTAGTTATAATTATGTGAGGGGATGAATAATGAATTTAAATTGATGCGATGTGTAAGAATGATTGATTGATATTATTAAATTGAATGATATTGTTAAATTATATTGAAAATATTTAGGATAGTGAGATTGAGTTAAAGTTGAGTTAGATTTTGAATTGAGATTTTTGATAAACAAGCAACCGGGTTCCTTTTTTTTTTCCTTCTCTTTTGTCCTATTCTTGACATGGTTTAATGGAGGTTGTTTTTTGCAATATATCATAGGTTCGTGATGTTTCAGACTCCTCTGTGAGGGAATTAGGCATTGATTCACTTCCTGCGATCGTTGGTTGGCTATCAAATGGGGAAAAGCAAGTTATCAAATCCGGCATTTCTGTAAAAGATATGAACTCTGCTATTCAAGATCTCAGCAAATTGCTCGACAATTTTGAGAAGAAGAATAAGAAGGCAGCTTCCAAGAAAGATCAAACCGAGTCTGGAGAGAGGAACATACCACTGCTTACAGCATCGAATTTTAACGAAATTTGTGATGAGAAAGTACCCGTCTGTTTAATTGGGGTCTTCAGGTCATCGATAACAAAGGACAAGCTACAGAAGATATTGCAATCTGTAAGTATCTCTATTCTCTGAATTTGTTGGAATTAGTGTAAAATTGTAAATCAGGAAAAAGGGTAACAGAAACAATGAATAATATTTCGTTTATTGATCTTGCAAGGTTTGTTAGGGCATGATTGGATATGAGTTATAATCCAACTCAACCGGTTATAACCGGTTGAGTCATATCATATCCAATCACACCTACTTCAAAATCTAACTCAACTCAATTCTCCTACTTTTTATAAGTATAATTAATTATTGATCAATCATTCTCACATATCACTCAACTTTAATTCATTAATTATCCACTCACATAGTTTTAAATATGTCACTTCTTATAATCTCTCTTCTACTTTTATATTATATCAACTTTAATCATTATATTTCAAATATTATTTATTTTCAAATCTACTTTATTCACAATAACCCATATCCAATTACACCCTTAAAAGTGCATAAATTTATTTATTAATCCTCTAGCAGGAAATTAAGCTCATTTTCATTATTTTACCTGTTTGTTTGTTCAGGTGTCTCAAAAATCATTTTCTAGGCGGCTGAGTTCGAACTCGGGACCAAGAGACTCGGTTGCCTATGCTCTTTTGGATGCTTCAAAACACCAATCATTTCTAAATACATTTGACAAGTCGGGATTCAAGTCATCAGATATGCTCTTGTTGGCCTACAAACCAAAGAGAGGAACATATGCTACGTCTCGTGATAAAATAACCGAAGAAACAGCCGAGAGGTTCATTAGCTCGGTACTCAATGGCGACGTACAATTTTCAAAGACTAGACAGAAACCGAACCTGAAATAACCTGTTGTATATTTTTATATCCGAGCGTGGACCTAATTTACGGTTCTAACCGGGTTCTTGAAAGGCGATGTGCATAAGTCATCAGTATCTATCCTGAGGAAAGATTTGCTTAGTGGAGGTAAAAATTAAGTCTCCATTTTGATATAGGTTGTTATATTGCATAAATGATTATGGTCCTTATGAAGTGGGGAACATTTTTGTCAGTAGGGTTTACTGGAATTTTTTCATCAGTAAGGTTAGATTTCTTTGTATATTATGGAATTACACTGGTATATATATACATGTGAATAATGCAAGTTATATGTTACTTATTATTTATTACTAGTTGATAACTTGATATATGAGTTGGATAGAAGTAGATAAAGAAGTGATGAAAATGAGCTAGGGAACTACACAAAGGATGGAATTAGTGTTCGAACTAGGACTGCAAACGAGATGAGTCGAGTTGAGCATTTTTTTTTTAGCTGCTCGAGTTCGATTTATGAGGCTCGAGCTCGACTCGATAAAAAAGTACAATCGCTTGAGGTCGGTTTAAAACCGACGTGAAATCAAAATCCTCGAGCTCGGGTCGAAAAAATTTTAAGTGAAAAAATAAAATTACCATTAATCATTTATGCTATACTATTGTGATATGTATGGGGTATTTTAGTAATTCAACATATACGTCGAGTTGCTTGACAATGGAAAATATGAGTTCGAGTTGAGTTAAATTTGAGTTGAGTTTTGACTCGAGTGCTGCGAGCCGCTCGGTTTGTCTGTTTGCAACCCTAGTTCTAACACTGTATAGCCTATATAATAATAAAATAATTATGTAATCAATTACAAGTGTTTAATGATAATTTGTTATACATAATATATTTGTGTTCCAGTAACTGTATATTTTTACTGTTAATTTTCAATTCATATTTCATTTTATTGATACTTTTACAACTGTAATTATTTTATGTAAAGTAAGATTATATCATATGATTCATGCTATATGCTTTTGCGGATCATTTACGCTTTGGTTTACACAAGTGTGAATGTGTAGGTCTAATGATAAAATATTATGTTACAATGATGGTCATATGTGGGGAAATTTGACATTTAATAACACATGATTTAATTTAAACATTTTTTCACATTTACAATTTATGTTTTCAGGCTTAATTCCTAGAGCATTTGCATGGACCAAACCAAACCTTCTATGTTAATGAGAGCCAAAACACTAATTAATAATTATGCAAAAAATATGGGATAATTATATTACTTGGAGCATAAGCAACATTCTCTCCACATATTGAGTTTGATTAGGAATTGAATTTGCCCAGAAGATATACATGCAACATGTAACATGTAATTAGTACTCAAAAAAGACCCACTCACTAACATTATTGTCTAATTGTAATTTGTAATGTTGTCAATGTTACAATTATCTTTTGAGAAAATAACTACAAGTTTTCAACCTTTCTATGGTAATTAAGATAATTGATATCATGTATCCATTACAGTAATATTTAAATTAAATAGTTTTGCATGGAAAATTATTTCACTAAGCCATTTCTTGCGCTTAGGGACAACAGATTCAGAATAGAATCATACCTGCATTCAAAGCCTAACTTCAATGCATTTTTCAAATTAATGATGCATTATTTTTCTCATTTTATTTTATTATTAATTTTAATGCACCTTTAACCGACTTAAGAGATATACAAAATGATTTTATTTAAATTATACACCTAGTATAAAGGCTGTCAAAATCCATATTTTAATACAAAAAACTGAATTGGTCGACCCATGGTAGCAAATGGGTTCACAGATTCACGGACCTAAATAAAATAAACAAAGCCTATGTTTATTAGATGCTATTTAGTGTATCATGTATGAATTATGATAACTCGGTCCGTCTAAATATACATTTTTCGTTTAAAAAGTTATGACGAGTCAATCAATCTAATTATTTTGTAAAAATGTAACTAATCGACTCACCTAATATACATTTTTATTTTATAATTTGCTTAAATATATATTTTCATTGATAAAATATAATAGATCGACCAGTCTAATGATTGCTTAAAGATACGTTTTACTACAAAATAATGAACATGTTGGTCGATTTAAATATAAATATTTTTTATTTTTTAAAGATACGTTTCACTACAAAATAATGAATATGTTGGTTGATTTAAATATAAATATTTTTTATTACAAAAAAGTACGACAAGTCGATTGATCTAACGATTAAACAATGTAACCATAGCATAAAAAACGCTTACAGATACCGTTATTTCAAGTAGCTTCCTAAACCACGGTCCACCGCCTTTGAAAACTTTTCCTCAGGCCCAAGTAATTTTCGCCGCTGTTTTTAGGGAATTTGTTCCATATATAAATCCGCTCGTCCATGCCACTCTCACTTCCAAATCACTCTCAACCATTGATCTAATCACAAGAATCTCTTTCTCTGTCGTTCTCGAATTGTCTTTTTTGTTTTTTTTCATCTCACAATGGAAACCAAAGTTGGCTCGCTGGACTCTTGCACGCCCGCCACGTGTTCCGACTTGGCCAGCCTCCCCTCCAACGGCGCCGTCGCCACCGTCCACCCCTCCCCGGTGTCCTTCAACTCCGCCGAGGCCACTCTCGGCCGCCACCTCGCCCGCCGCCTCGTCCAGATCGGCGTTGGCGACGTCTTCGCCGTACCCGGGGACTTCAACCTGACGCTGCTTGACCACCTCATAGCTGAGCCGGGGCTCAACCTCGTCGGCTGCTGCAACGAGCTGAACGCCGGCTACGCCGCCGACGGCTACGCCAGGGCGCGAGGCGTCGGCGCGTGCGCTGTGACGTTCACCGTCGGCGGGCTGAGCGTTCTCAACGCCATTGCCGGCGCGTACAGCGAGAACCTTCCCGTCATCTGCATCGTCGGCGGCCCGAACTCCAACGACTACGGCACCAACAGGATCTTGCATCACACGATCGGGCTGCCGGATTTCAGCCAGGAGCTTCGTTGTTTTCAGACCGTCACTTGTTATCAGGTATACAGAATTTGCCCTAGATCACACTTTTTTCGCTGATTTTGGCTTCGAAAATAGTACCGAAATTGAATCGCCCATTTGCTTTTTTGTTGAATAAAAGCGGTGGTGACTACTGGTGAATAATTTACAGCAATTCGCGCTAGATTACTCTTTTTTTTTCCGCTGATTTTGGCTTCAAAAATAGTACCGAAATTAAATTGCCCATTTCTTTTTTGTGTTGATTTTAGTCGGTGGTGAATAATCTGGAGGATGCTCATGAGCTGATTGACACGGCGATTTCGACGGCGTTAAAGGAGAGCAAGCCGGTGTACATTAGCGTGAGCTGTAACTTGCCTGCCATCCCTCACCCAACGTTTAGCCGCGAGCCTGTCCCATTTTCACTCTCCCCAAAGTAAGCTTCAGTCTCATCCTCCCCTGTTTCAGATCAATTTCTTGTGAATTATTCAAAATCTTGTAATCTTGTTGAGTATGCTGATTTTGATGGTTACCTCTATGTTTCTAGATTGACAATCCAATGGGCCTATTTCTTGTGAATTATTCGAAAATTTGGAATCTTATATATATGCTGATTTTGATGGTTGCCTCTATGTCTCTAGATTGAGCAATCAAATGAGCCTATTTCTTGTGAATTATTCAAAATTATGGAATCTTGTTTATTATTATGCTGATTTTGATGTTTACCTCTATGTTCCCAGATTGAGCAATCAAATGATCCTATTTCTTGTGAATCAAATGAACCTATTTCTTGCGAATTTATTATTATGCAGATTTTGATGGTCACCTCTGTGTTCCTACATTGAACAATCAAATGGGCCTATTTCTTGTGAATTATCAAAAATTTTGGAGTCTTGTTTATTATGCTGATTTTGATGTTTGATGGTTACCTCTATGTATCTACATTGAAAAATCAAATGGGCCTATTTCTTGTGGATTTTTTTTCGAAATTTCGGAATCTTATTCATTAGGCTGATTTTGATGGTTATTACCTCTATGTTCCTACATTGAACAATCAAATGGACCTATTTCTTCTGATTTTTTTTTCCCCAAAATTTCAGAATCTTATTCATTAAATAGACTGATTTTGGTGGTTACCTCTATGTTTCTACATTGAACAATCAAATGGGTCTATTTCTTGCGGATTTTTCTTTTTTTTGAAATTTCGGAATCTTATTCATTAGACTGATTTTGATGGCCACCTCTGCGTTTTTCTAGACTGACCAACCAAATGGGCCTGGAGGCCGCAGTCGAGGCTGCCGTCCAATTCCTCAACAAGGCCGTGAAGCCCGTCCTCGTCGGGGGGCCGAAACTCCGCGTGGCACGGGCCTGCAACGCCTTTGTCCAGCTGGCAGATGCTTGCTGTTACCCACTAGCAGTCATGCCCTCGGCAAAAGGCCTTGTCCCCGAGCACCACCCGCGCTTCATCGGCACTTACTGGGGTGCCGTGAGCACTGCCTTTTGTGCCGAAATAGTCGAGTCTGCCGATGCGTACCTTTTCGCGGGCCCCATTTTCAACGACTACAGCTCGGTGGGGTACTCTTTGCTCCTCAAGAAGGAAAAGGCCATCATCGTGCAGCCCGATCGTGTGGTTATTGGTAACGGGCCAGCCTTTGGGTGCGTGCTCATGAAGGATTTCTTAACGGGCCTTGCGAAAAGGCTGAGCCCAAACCCGACTGCTCACGAGAATTACCAGAGGATTTATGTTCCGGAAGGTCGGCCTGTGAAGGCCGCGCCTAAAGAGGCTTTGAGGGTGAATGTGCTGTTTCAGCACATTCAGGAGATGCTTTCGGGGGAGACAGCTGTCATTGCCGAGACGGGGGATTCGTGGTTTAATTGCCAGAAGCTCAAACTGCCAGCTGGCTGTGGGTGAGCACGAGTCAGACATATTCATTGTG